AGATTTTTTTTATGTGACTAGACCAGGAACAATCAACTGCTGATGGTTATGGCATGACATGCTCAACAAAATGAAACAAATCACATTATCACTAATTGTTAGATTCACTTACTGCATTGCACAATCATGTGATTTAATTATTTGTTTGAATTTTGCTCTGGGTCATGCATCAAGCCAGTTTTTGCCATTTGGAAACCATAGTTTAAATTGAGTTTTGGGCAGTTATACCTTGTACAAGGCTCCATTAATAAAACAAACATAGCTTAGTCTGTTGTGATTAATGAGTAGTTTTCTGTAGAACCCAACGGGTTTTGTTTTTTGTTGTTGTCATACAAAGTCATCCTGTTTGTAGTCAAAAGAGGGGCACTCATATACTGATTGATTCTGACCTGTTTTTCTGATCAACTGATTCTATTGACTTTAACAGAATTATACTGTTGGAAGGGACCTTAAAGATCTTCTAGTCCAAAATGGATGTGGAAATGATTGTGAAATAATGAATGGACATTGGACACCTGGGACAGCGGAAGACCTCCAGACCAGAGGTGGTGTTAAGCAGGTTCTGACCAGTTCTGGAGAACCAGTAGTGGAAATGTTGAGTAGTTTGGAGAACTGGCAAATACCACCTCTGACTGGAAATTTTACAATATTCTTCCCCTGCCACACCCACCAAGCCATGCCCACATAACCGGTCATAAAAAAAAATTGAATCCCACCTCTGTTCCAGACACACTAAGCTATGTATTGTTTAACTCTAAAAAATAAACCACAGTTGTGTTCACCTAATGTACCAAATAAAACCAACTAAATTACTGGTTAGTATGTTTCTAAGGCCCTTCAAAATAATACTACAGGATTATGTCTATGGAGAATCTCTGTCATCCAGGTCATGGTTGTCCCAAAGGTATTTTTTCAAGACACACCTGGACTTTCTGGTTTTTCTTTGAAGACATTTTACTTCTCATCCAATAAGCTTCTTCAGCTCTAACTGGTTGGTGGAGAATGGAAGGATTTATGTTCTTTGAAGACAGCTAGTCATTTGCATTCAGGGATATGCAGGGGTGGGATTCAAACTTTTTAGCAACTGGTTCTGTGGGCGTGTCTTAGTTGCTGGCATGGCTTGGTGGTCATGTTATTGGCTGAGTGTGGCCAACTCAATATCACTCACATCGAGGCACGCATCTCCTCGCCTGGCCTCTCATGACTCTGGGGATGCTGCAACAGTCGTAAGTGTGAAAAATGGTCATAAGTCACTTTTTTCAGTGCCATTGTAAATTTGAATGGTCACTCCACACAAGCAAAGGAGGGGGAAAAAACTCCAGATAAGTTCCTGAAACAGGAAGTCTAGTCCTACCAAGAATGTAATAAGGGTTAACGGAGAGACAGTTTCTGTAAGCAACACCAGATTGTTTCCTTCCTGCCTTTCTTACAGGATTAGGCCAGTAATTTCTTCTATCAACCAGTTCTCTGAACTGCTTAGAATGTTAACAACCAGTTCTAGCAAATAGGTGCGAACTGATAGAATCCCACCCCTGGGGATATGCCATCATCTATCTCCAGTCCACAACAGTCCTTTCAACAGTTCCAAGAAGGCGCCACACCCATTTGCACTACTGAGGTGACCTTGACAACACAGAAAAACCTCCAGGTGGACTCAACTGTCTGCAAGGAGTTAACATCCTTTCATTTCCCAATTCAGAGCTGAAAAAGCTTCTTGGATGAGAAGCAAAACAACTTCAAAGAAAAATCAGAAAGTCCAGTTGCTTCTTGTAAAAGCACCTTTGAGGCAACAGGATTATTGTAGTAAAATAAACTTTGCAAAATAATCATTGAATAGAACTTTACAAAACAATTACTATTGAAATTTGCCTATGAATGATCATGACTGATCTCTCAGTGGTTAATCAACTAGGGTTTGGTTAATTAATCTATCAATCCAAACAACCTGTGATGATTGGCAATTAGAATTGCTAATCAAAAGTTGGAATTGGTGGGGTTGGAAGGGTCTTGAAGAATTGAAAACTAAATCCTGCCTTTTTAAAATCTTTGCCATGACATCACATACTTGCATCAAAGGGATGGAGCTTGAGATGTGATATTCTGATAGTGCTTTTGATTTTGCGATGAAATAAAATTGCGCAGATGATGCTTTTTCAGAGCGAGGGGGGGAAGGGAGAGAGAACAATTGGGGTGGTGTAGATGGAATCCTCTTCTAATCCTTTAAGGCAGGGTTGTCAAACACAAGGCCCCTGGGCCAGATTCAGCCCATCGGGTGCTTAGATCTGGCTCACGGGGCTGACCTAAAAAGAGCAAAGGACTGGCCCATAGTGCCTCTGCCAGTGAAAATAATGGAGCTTGGGCAGGCCATGTGTGGCCCTCCTGAGCTCTGTTTTCACTGGCAGAGGTTGCAGAAGGCTGTCGCAGATGAAAACAAAGCTTGGGAGCCTGTTTTCATTGGCAAAGCGCTCAGACCACCATAAGTGCCCCCAATACAAGTGATATCGAGCTGGCCATACCCACCCCAGGCTTCCAAAGTCAAACACAACCCTTATGTGGCTCTCAATGAAGTCGGGTTTGACACCCTTGCTCTAATGGAACCCCAGTCTTAGATATAAGAAAACCTCCATCTATGACAACAACCCCCAGTTTAAAAATAGGTATATCCAGGGGTGGGATCCGACAGAGTTAACTACCAGTTCGATCATTTATGAGGTTCAATGATTTACAATGTGCTTCCCTGCACACTGCCAGCGTGTGCCTGTAAATCATCATCAGCATGCTGTGTGCAGAGAAGCAGCCTTTCAAAAAGCCCTTTTTTCTTGCTTTTTTAACTGCAGCTGTGCCCTGAAAGGCAGCTGAAGTTGAAAATAATCAGGAAATAAAGGTCGGGTAAGAGCCCAGGTGGGTGGGTGGGCAAAAACATCAGCAGACATAGAACCGGTTCTATGTCTGCTGCCCTTAAGAGCTACCGGTTCTACAGAGGTGGACAGAACCAATAGAAACCCACCCCTGGGTATATCCTTGCCAAGCAAGATGTAGAATGACAGCCATAGATATGCCACAATAATATAATAACCTGTTTTATTATAAATAATAATTGACTTAATCATTTCTTAAATGTTAACACTCTGTATCATTTCCACGTTCCCGCTATTCATATAACCTCAAATATATGCAAATAACTTGAGGAGAAGAAACAAAAACAAAATTAATTCAGGAAAGTTTGGCAATATCAGCCAAACCCATAAATCCTTGGATTAATGGGATTATGCTTTCATTTTGAAGGAAGAAAGAAAAGTAACAAGAACACCTCCCTAAGCCAGAGGGTGCATGATAAACCCATTAAATTTTGCCACCCATAATTAGTAGTATAGCCATTGTATCACAATGCATTCATCAAGTTTGTTTACTGAAGAATAGAATGAGAACCAGAGCCTTTAATTAAAGCTGACCAAATTGCTGTCAAGAAGAGACTTGCAAGCAGCAATTTCTAATTAAAATGAATTCCCCTAGTAGTAGTGTTCTCTCTGAGTACATCTTTTAAAAGATGGGTTGTAGCTACCAGAAATGCCATGCATATGCCTGATAAAATCTGGCAGTGTTACAGTAATTGGAAGATTGAGTAGCAAAAGCTGAAGAAAATGGCCTGCAAAACACAGAGGCAAATAATTTAGTGTTAGGAATTTATTTTCCTGCTGTTGAAATGGCATCCAAAAGGATGGACATCTTAAGCCAAGAAGTTAAAGTTGATTCCTAAACAACTCTAGGCAGCTCCATGTCATCCTTTGGGGCCTAATTGAGGCCTGGAATTATTTTTAATGAATCTATCTAGTCGGACAAAGACAGAACAGTGTGGCACCAATATACGGTATAAAGGCCTGATTCTGAATGGCTTCTCTCTCTCTCATAAGCTAAACAGAACTGATCCATCATATCTTAGCTTACTTGATAAAAACAATGAGGTGATCTATAAAAACATAAATAAATAAACGATGAGCACACCCACCCAAATATCTGACCTGGTGCATTAAAAGCTGAGTATCTTGGGTCATGAGAAAAGGTTTAGGGAACATTGATCTTTGCAATTTTTCAGAAGGCAATAGCAATAGTACTTAGACTTACATATCATTTCATATTCCTTTACAGCACTTTCTGAATGGTTTTCAACATCAGCATATTGTCCCCAACAATCTAGGTTCTCATTTTACCAACCTCAGGAAGGATGGAAGGCTAAATCAATCTGTTTCTCATTTTACCAACCTCAGGAAGGATGGAAGGCTGAATCAATCTTGAGCCCCATTGGGATTGAAGTCCTGGTAATGGGAAGATCTAGCCTGCGATACTGCATTCTAACCACTGCACCACCAGGGCTCCTTAAGATGCAAGTTTTCAATCATAAACTTAATGTGATGGAAAGCCTAATAGTTTGTATTGGTTAAGGAAGGAAGGAAGGAAGGAAGGAAGGAAGGAAGGAAGGAAGGAAGGAAGGAAGGAAGGAA